GGTTTATTTTAGATATGCCAGTTTTAAATGCAGGAGTGTAAACCACCCTTTTTCATCTATGTGAAAGAACCTTGTCTTGATCTAGGTTCTCTTGAATGGATAATCCTGTCCTTATCTTATTGCAAAAATAGTTGGACATGAGTCCAATAGCTTTCATTGCAGATTATATTTGGACAGTATAGTAAAATCAAGGATCAGCGGACTTTTTTGTTCCTTCAGTCTATCGCTTCCCCACCCTGGCCCCTTTCCTTATCAGCTTGTGGGGTCTGAGTTTGGGAAAGGGGAGAGAGTTGTGGGGTTTGGGGGCTTTGATTTTTTTTTTTTTTGTTTTTGTTTTTTTGGTTTTTTTTGTTTTCTTTCTTTTGCTTATTTACCTCAGTAAAAATGGAGAAAGGTTTATGGTTTTCATTTTCTGGATTCTTGCTGTCTTTTTCCAGAGAGAATTTTGGTGAAATGAAGTGAGTTTCTAAATAGAGCAGAAACATTTGACAAATAAGCATTGCAAAGTAGTACAATTTTATCACTTCAAAGGGCATGGGAAGGAATCCAAACCTGCTTTGAACTGGTTAACGTGTATCACTTGCCAGCTAACTTTGTCAATTATTTTAAGACTGATATTTCTTAAATTGAAAGTTTAGGACAATCCATTGAATATTTTCTTTATATTCCCCCATGCATTATTTTTTTTAAAGCATATTTAATTATGTGAATCAAATATTCATTAGCCCTGTTAGCTTAATGTATTACTGTTTTTTTGGCTCTGTTTGGGAAGCCTTAATTCTTGCAGACATTTTAACCTGTTTAAAAAACCTATAAGCCCTGCTTACCTGTTGTGGGCTCTGTGGTGGTTTGAGCATCTTCAAAGCTACTGAGAAACTGTCAAACATGGATTTGCTAAAGGGCAGCCACTGTGGTAAGCTCAGAAATGGCAGATGACCTGCTGGTGTGGAAACACCACGTTCACATGCTATAGGAGGGCCCTACAGGCATATTTTCAGTGCCCCATGTGACTGAAGAGTTCCTACATATCAGTTTCTGACCGGATTCAGGGCAAAGATTGCATGTCACGAGTTGGGCTGTTTGATTCGTAGTAAAATCCAGAGAATCAGGAAAAAAGGTTCCTTTTACTTTTCTCTTCCTCCTTTATGTGATACTTTAAAAAAACATTTATTTAGTGCAGATTTTGCTAGTGCTAATGAACATCAGCCTCCAAGGATTATGAGGGTCAACACTAACATTTTGAGTTAATTCTGGGATTAAAATGATATAATTTATCACGATTAAAGGCAATAAACTAAAAGGGTTACATGGTGATTAATTAGTAAGGCTCAAATGGCCAGCAAAGGAGAACAGAAAGAGCGCTGAGAGTCAGTGGGAGCATTTTCCTTACTCTTTTATTAGATGTTAATCAGTGATACTACAGTTAACATTTCCAGTTGATGTGCCCAGGATGGTTTGTACTCATTGCGGCTCTGACCTGTTCACATTTCTAAAGAGAAACTTTTACAGGATGCAGAGTGCCCAGGAAGTGGAACCAGCATATTTTTAAGCTGTAATTTTATGAATACGAAGAATAAGATGTCTAGTGTGGAGTGGCGGGAATGGCTTATGAAGAGTCTGTGGGTTTGGGGTTTCATTTTTCCTGGAGTTGATGGCCGGGTGGGATCCTTGTCGCGCTCTAAGCAAAAAGCAAGTGGTGCCCAACTGGCATTTACCTTCCTCCACCAAGACAGTTAATTTTTACTTGTTGCGATGGTTTTTTTTTCCTAGTTATTCATCTGTTGTAATAGCAGCTGACTTTGTCTAGTTGGCATTTGTTAAAGGGCAAGTGAGAAACCCCAAATGGTACTTGTTCTTGATCAAATTTACATACTTCTGGTGAAATGGTACTTCTTTTCATGCTCTAGGGGAGGTGGGGGATCATTTTGCAAAGGGTTTCTTGACACCTTTGTAGAGAAAAACTGATCTCTGAGTTTGGGGTAGAGTACGAGGCCTTGCTGTTGTAAATAATCAATTTGAGAAGAACAGGCAGGATCCAAAATGCAAACCAGTGCCTGCCTTCAGGGGGTACAGGACGCTCAGAAATGCTTGTCTTCAGGGAGATGGTGCAGTGTTTATGGGCCTGCAAGGGCTGAGTGCTTTTCACTCGGATGCTCTGCAGTGGGCCACGTTACTTGAACTGGCTGGCTGTGGGCTTCTGGTTTGGTTTTGTTTTTAAATGTGGCTTTAGGTTGTGAATGAGGAAGCTGCCTGTAAAAAGGTTCTTGAATTCTGGTTTAACTCCCTTGTTTATGTTGGTCTTTCATTTCTAGATCCAGAATAGATGGGGCTGTGTTTGGCAAAAAATGCTTGTCTCTTAATTTCTCTGTAATTGAATGCCAGCTTTCAATTCAGCTGTACTAGAATCCACTGAAAAAGAGATATTAGTGTGGCATTTGTTCATATTTACATGTTTTAAAGGGCAAAGCTGGCAATATACTCAATTCTCCTATCTTACTCTTTCACAATAGTTTTTCCCCCTTAATTGCAGCACTTTATGCAGTAAATAGTCCCATGGGTTTCAGTAAGACTGTTTGGGGAATTGAATACCACAGTGCTAGCAGAAATGGAAAAAATGAACAGTGCTTTTAAGAAGTGCAGCAGTTGGCAAAACGCTCGTAGCTTGTACATGTATCAAACATTAATTCTGTTTTGTTTACTTATGAATTTATTTAAATTATTACAGAAAGCTATTGTGAGAATTGCGTTAATGATGCTTTATATGGCACCAGGTGTGACATTTGGGTTCTTATTGATTAAGCTCTACTTTGAAATTCTGTTTAAACCTTGAAAAACAGGTTTTATACTGCAAAGTGTAGCTTGAACTCATTAAGTTTTTTGTATGAAAAGTAAAAAAAGCCTCTTAAATTTTACCAGGTGCACCAAAAGCAATCACATGGACATGGCTCATGCACACTTGAATTGGTGGTCAGACCTGCTCAGTATTGCAGGCGTATACATGTTTCTGTTAAAATTGCTTCATTTTCCTTGAGTGACCAACTAAGAATTAACAATCCCTTGAGGGGATTTTTTGAAGCTTTTTTCAAAAGTGGAGAAAGACCACAAGAACATACCAGGAGAAAGACGTTTGTGGTTTTTTTTTTAAACTTTCCCTATCCCTTCCCCCCAGATACAGCTGGCCAAGAGCATCCTGTGTCTTGCAGCTGTATACCCTGTACGCACCCTTACTGTGCTTTGCTGTCCTCGTGGACAAGCTCTGGTTCAGGGCACATGCTCATTACTCCAGTGCGTGTGAAAAACATAGGCAGCAAAGGAAGAAAAATTTATATTCCTGTTTAGAAAATGCCAGACTGAAGCACAAAATGTGTTTAATTTTAGGTAATGGGTGTAACATCAATATTACAATCCTTTTCTCTTTTTAAAGTCTAGACAAACGCTGTATTTGTGCTCTGTTCTGGATTTATCTAGGCTGTTCATTAGCAAGGTGTCATTTTAAGATTGACGTTTAAGCTAACCCAGCTGGTTTGCTTAGATTTAAATGAAGATCAGCTCAGCATGACACTTGTTGGAATTGCTCCTTGTGGAATTTTTCTAGCTGGGACTTTTAAATCTGTTTTTGAATTTACCAAATAAATTTTTTTTCTCCTAAATGGGCATATTTAGGGAACTGCCTTTCTATTGGAATTATATCATGGCTATCTCGTTCCTTTACTCAGCAGAAGGAGAAAAGCAAAACAGAAGTTGAAAGATGTATCTGTGTTAAAAAAACAAAACAAAAAACAACAGCAAACCAACACAAAGAAACCCAACAAAAAAACCCAAAACCCAAGAAAAAAACCCCCACAATAAAAAACAACTGAACCCCCAAAACCACACAAAATCCACAGAAACAAAACCCCACACTTCCCAAACAAGCAAATAACAACAACAAAAAACAGGCCCAAATCAAGTCTTACTTCAGAGGAGGCTGACTTTGCAGTTCTCACTTCTTTTGTCACCTTATATCAATCAAGTCTTATTTCAGAGGAGACTGACTTTGAAATTCTCGCTTCTTCTTTTGTCACCTTATAATTTACGTAATATACAAGCTTCCAGCATAGCTAGGTTACAGTGTATTTACATATAACATTTACAGAGTTTATATATTTCTCTTTCATAAGCAGAAAATTGGACTGCTTTCTGCTTGAGCTCAGCAGTGCAACTTTTGTCATCAAAGCTCTCAACCCTAAAGCAGGGAATTTATACCTGATGCAGTGCCATCAATTTGATTGATGCTAGGGAGCTAGCAGTATGGTTGCAATCTGCAGCCAATCCAGATTGCAACCAAACTTTTACAAAGTATAAGAAGTTTTGTTGTTTGTTTGTTGTTTGTTTTGTTTGTGGGTGTTGTTGGTTTTTTTTTTTTCCATTGCAACATACACGGATCAGAGAGTTCTGTTCACTGATATGCTGCATGTGTCTTTGGATATATGACTTCCCACCCCCCTCACAAATAGTCACCAGAGTGATTTCAGGCTGTAGGATTGTCTTTCATATGGGCATGGTATCAATGTATCAAGATTTTTTCCTTGGAAAAACAAGGAAAATGAGGTGGTCTGGCATCACCCATCTTTACCAAATGCTATTGCTGTAACCACTGTAGCATTGCTTAGCACTTAATTCTTTTTAATCAGCTGTGCTGTCTTAAACATAGCAGAAACCGCAGTTGTAGCTCAAAAGGGCTTGCACATGGATAAGAATTCCATGATTTTTAAGAGCTTGTGGTCATTCAGCTGGATAAATGTGGAACTACTTAACTAGAGAGTGTGTGTTGTTTTGGTCCCTGCTGGCAAATGAACTTAGGAAGCAAAACTCTTTTAAGTGAAATCAAGAGTTACATCGTTCAAAGATGGCAGTGGTTCTTATTGTTCATGTATGAATGTGATTCCTATACAGTCTTTGTACCTTTCATGGGGATTCCAGAGTTGGACTCATAAATAATTTAGTGTTTAACAAGTGGAATGGTCATCTTCCTTCGAGTGTATGTAATGTAAGTTATGTCATTCATCTCTAAAATGTGTCAAGAGACACCCAGTGTATAAACTGCATGAACTTATGGATTGGTGTTTGGATCTCTGACAGCTTCATAATTTAGCAGAAGAGTTTGGAGGAAGAGCAAAGTCTTTGAGGCACGGCTCAACACCATTTAAACTTTATGGTTTAGAAAATTGTATTGACTGGGCAGCTTCAGTGCTTGCTGCCTTTAAGGACTTTGTTTGAATTTCCACTGTGCAAAAGGAGTCCTGAGGCAGTAGCTACCCTGGAAACTGATTTAAGAAAAAGGCTCTGTTTGGAGGAGAGTATTATGTGCTCCTCATCTCTGCAAGCTGTCCTGCTCTTTTCATTAGTTGGTGCTTCTCTAGGAGGCATTCCTCTCATGCTTTTGTTCTCTCCTTTTTTTTCCCCCAACATTAAAGAAAATCCTCTGTTTCATGTGCTCCATGGAGTTCCTTTCATCCTTCAAAGTGATGTTACTTATTTTGCAATGTAATCGCCTGTATGAGCTTGCTCTTGAGCTGTAAGGCTAAGTACTGTTTTTGTTGGCAGCATTATAATGTTTGCGCATTTACCACATGTCATTGATTGATAACAGTAATGAAGTAAATAAGTGAAGGACTTAATTTGTTTTCTTTTTCACTCTTCTGTTTCTCATAGGTTCATTGCCAAACCATGTGCCTTAGGCCTTAAAGTCCAAGCCAATGGACCACAGAAAGCTCAACCTAATGCTATCCTGGAAAAAGTTTTCACAGCTATTACAAAGGTAGGGTATTTAACTGTCCCGGTTTTGGTTGGAATAGAGTTAATTTTCCTCCTAGTAGCTGGTATAGTGCTGTTTTGGATTTAGGATGAGAATAATGTTGATAACACACTGATGTCTTAGTTGATAATGAGCAGTGCTTACACTTAAGTCAAGGACTTTTCAGCTTCCCATACTGCCCTGTCAGCGATGGTGCTGGAGGTGCATAAGAATCCGGGAGGGGGCACAGCCAGGACAGCTGGCCAAAGGGATATTCCATACCATATGATGTCATGCTGAAAAAAAAAAAGGGGGGGGGAGGGGGGGGGGAGGGGGAGCGTGGCATGGGAACATAATTACAATTTCTGTCAAAATGCCATGTTTATAAAAAAAATAGGAAATAAACTTCTGTATCAAGAACAGTCTAACTAGAATATATCACCACCTGTCAGATGAAGCAAAAAAATACCTGCCCTATTTGAAATCCATGGGGGGGGAGGTGGGGGGGAGGGGGAGCGTGGCCGCTGCTTGGAAACTGGGGAGCAACTGTGCTGTGCATCATTTGCTTTGTATCTTCTTTTCTCAATATTATTATTTTCCCTTCCTTTTCTGTGCTATTAAATTGTCTTTATCTCAGCCCCTGACTTGTACCATTTTTTCTGATTCTCTCCGCCATCCCACTGGGGGGGAGTGAGTGAACAGCTCTGTGGTGTTTAGCTGCCTGCTGGGTTAAACCACGACATTAACTAAAATATTTACCTTATAAAGTGGGATATGGCACTATCAAATATGTCTGAATAAACCAAATCTAACTGCTAAATGCAGTGCTGCATTTTTAGAGCTAAAATCAGAACATGCAAATGTCAAGGTTGTCATTGGCATGCCAGCTTGAGCAGTTGTGCATCCCTTCATGACGTCTCCTGTAAGCTTTTAATCAAAAAAAGTTGTTACAGAAACACTTTGTAGGTGCCATATGGCCACCTACTCTTTTTTTGCGTCTTATCTTTTAGAAATTTCCACAAAATTGTCAGGTTTTTTTTTTTTTGGAAAAAAGAGCAAATTGTGAGCCAATAAGATTGGCCTTACTGTGTTTTCGATGAAACTTCAAAGCTACTCCTTCCAGGGGAACTGCCTGAGCACAGGGCACTGGTGGCTTGCTGGTGTCCCAGCTGTTTATGTTGTGATGAATGTCCTTTGAAGTTGGGGCGGGAAGCTAGAAAAGTCAGGGAAACTGACCGAATTAATGTTTTAGAACTTGCAGATTTTTTTTGTACAAGTTTTTTCGCCCACCACTCATGTCTCTGTCTCTACAGCTTTTACTGTATGACATCTCAACTAAACCTCTCTGCCATCCTGTCCATGGTTTTGAAGCATCCTGAGCTTTCCCATAGTACTGAGCAGGGACCAGGTGCCCTTTAGTGTCTCCTGAAAACCTCAGTGGTCAGCTGCTTTGCAGTGGAGAGGCCTGTGGAGGCCTGAAGGACAAAGCCACTGTGCTGCAGGAGCTTCCCGGTCCCACCTCGGCTCCAGGCTGCAGCTGGGCATGCCACAGCAAAGGCATCAGCTTAAACTTCAGAGACTACTAGAGTTATAGAGGACGAAATTGAATTCTGTGTCAGGGATAGTGAAATATGTCTTGCTTGTGTGTCCTACCCTATCCTGAGATCACCATGGCACTTGCTGTGGTTTTTGTCCTGTTTTCAGAGAGGGAATCAGACTTACCTTGTTTCTAAAAGCTGCAGCACATGTGTTCTCACCCAGACTCAGCTGGAGGAAGAATAGGATTTTTTTTTTTTTTTTTTTTTTTTTTTTTTTTTTAGTTTTCTTTGCAGAGTCTGCTAGTCTGACACAGAGCCTGAACGTATTAAGTGATCCAATTAATGCCTGTAATGGTAGGAGCTGGCACATACAGCTCCCAGCACCCAGAGAATGGTGATGAGTGGGAAGGGCTCCAAAGGAAAGTATCTGCTTTCTTGCAAGAGTTTGGTAGGGCTGTCTGGTAGCTGCTCTCAAAGAAACTGTCTGATTTAGCTAGCCACCTCTTTTGAGTCATGTGCAGCAGTTCTCTCTGGTCAAGCTCCCAAGAGCTGCATCAATCATTTGATTTTTCTAAAGTTACAGAGAATGACTTTTCTTAACCTTCCATTAAAAAAACAGTGGCTACTTTGGTTGACTAAAAAACTAGGGTGTTGGTGTTGGTTTGTTTGTTTTTTTCTTTTTGAGCTGGATGGCAAATACTTCACTCTTCTCTTGTCTCATCCTTTCCCTTCCCTTTCCTTCCTGTCTTTTCCTGGAGGCTGATGGATGAAAACTTTAGCCTGACAAAAGCTTTGCTGGTTTAGCTCTTGCAACATTTAAAAAAGTCATTATCATGGCAGCTCTTGTAATAAGAAACAGAGCTAATGCTCCAGTAAACATATTGTCCAAAAGCTTTTTCTGTTTCTTTAAAAGAGAATGTGATCAGGAGAAATATGTAAATAGTCCTCATGTAGTACTGTACATGTAGAATTGCTGCATGATTGGAAACATGGCCTGTACTGCTCTTCTATCTGTATATTAGTCAAATTAAGGACAGACTCATTTTCTTTTGCCTTACCTCTGCACTGACTGTCAGCCGCTCTAATGGAATGAGAGTTCCACATTTGCTGCTTTGGAGAATAATTGTGTGTAGCTAATTTTACAGGAAAAAAATTCTCTCTCTTTGTTGTCAAGGTGATTTTCCTTTTGAAGTTGTCACTTTGTTTAATGACCTTATTTTTTAACATTAACATGCACAAACATGGGATATATGTTCTTTCCATGTCAGTCAAACAGTCTTCGCTACTGCAATAGTTGATAGGACAAAGATCCTGATGCAGGAGGATGGAATGGGCATAACATGAGGCAGGCAGGGGTGTGTTTGTAAGTCCCACTGCTCAAGAAATGCAAGGCATTTTATCCCCTTCCTATCCCTACCATCACTTTCCAAGTTTCAAGCAAGTTTTCATCCTATTGCCCCCTTTAAGTTTCTTATTAGTAATAACCTGCATGCAATTTTACAGCAGATGTCCTTCTTGATTAATAATAGTCGTTGTAAACTTATTTTGATGTGGGTTCTGCCAGCAGAGATATCTGTGAAAGTGATTTTATTTCTCTGTATCCATGTGTTGGTGACAGACAGCCTCTAAGATATCAAGAGGTGATTACAGTGGTCCTAATTTAAAGTGGAGTTACTGCAGTTGGGTAAATAAATAATTTTTATCCTTCTCTGTTCTGTAGCATCCAGATGAGAAGAGGCTGGAGGGCCTCTCCAAGCAGCTGGACTGGGATGTACGCAGCATTCAACGCTGGTTTCGACAAAGACGCAACCAGGAAAAGCCCAGCACTCTTACAAAATTCTGTGAGAGCATGTAAGGATGCACGTTTTCTTCTTGAGTCTTGTTGAGCCTGAGTCCTCATCAGTTTTCCCCTTTGTTCTTCACAGGTATTTTTATAGACTGGTAGAAAATTATACAAATCGTTAGAATATAACTTCTTTCTCCTGAAGTAGTCAGATTGTACTTTTTGTGTGCTTTCAGTGGTAAAAAGCTTTCAGAAATCAGCTGGTTACGATTCTATACTGTCAGGGTGCAGCCTGATCCTTTGAGACAAATCACCTGGTGTTAGGCCGGGAAGCTGTCTTTACAGCACAACCTTTGGCTATACAACCTTACAGAGAGCCAAGATGGAGGAGTAAAGGTAAAAGCCAATTGGGTTGTTAAATCCCTTCTTTGTTTTTTCTCATCCCAGGCTTGGCCCCTTTACCTAGCCCATTTCCTTGGGTGCACTGAACTCTGAGCAGGTAAAGGCTCCTATGCTTTCTTTACAAAGTTATTTTTCACCTGCCAGGGTTTACTTCTAAGGAGACTTTCCCAGCACCCAGCTGCTCTTCAAACTGGTGATCTACATAAAGTTCATTTTTTCTAATTAGACTCCATTGGTTTTAGTATCTGAGTTGCATTTCCATGCCAGTTGGGTTTAACATATCAATACTTAATCTGCATTGAAAGAGCATGGAAAATTAAATCTACTTAAAATATCTACATGTTTTTCTTAAAGGAGGACTGATAGACATTGAATTCATAACAAAACACAAAGAACAATACTAGTTTATTTGAAAGACTCATTGATTCCAAGACTCAGCCCTCTAGCACCACTGGATGTTGTCCATTTGATGTGGAAGGTCATGCATTTAAGGCAAATTTTACATGCTCCAAATCAAGAGACTTGGCAACTATTGCTGAGTCCATAAACAAGTATTGGCTTTATTACACCCTGTTGATTGAGTAGTTGTGTTATTGCTGGCTTAAAACTCTAGTTACACTTTTTGTTAATTGGGAAAGAAGTGTTAGGTAGAAATGTCAGCAGAAATAGAGGAAGCCTATTTAAGTTAGAAAGCAAATACTGGTTCATCTCATTTTCCAAGTTTTGGGGGTTTTTTTATTCCTAACAATTATTAAATTATTTATTTAAGAAGTTGCAAGTAAAGAAATCACAAAAACACTGAAGACCCAGCCAGAGAGAGGGGTGGAGTAGGTGGGTATATGTGTATTAAACCCCTTGTGGAATATACTGTTGTATCATTCATGCAGATTTCATACTTTTTCTTTTTGTAGGTTTCCTAAGCATTTTCCTTAAACTTCATTTGCCTGTGGAGATGTACAGGAAGGTTCATAATACAGTCCTAAATAAATAATGTATTAAGGCATTTTTTCTAAAGCCAAACCATAGATGAAATGTTACTCAAGTAACAACTGATACTTACTTTCAACTAAGGGCTGAATAGGAGAGAAATTAGAAGTTATTGTTAAGCATGTTGTCTCTCTCGTTCAGAGAATGTCTTTTTTTTTTTTTTTTTTTACTTTAGAAGAATAAAGGTAAATTTTCTAAAGCTGATTGCCCTTTAAGAAACAGAGGAACTTAACTGTCAGAATGCTGAATTCCTTTCCTTGGTACAGCTGAAATCCACCTTACTTAATATTTAATAAAGCCAGGCAGGGTGAGATTAGGGATAAATGTAGTCATCCTGTTGCCAGCAGCTGGTGGTCTTAGAGTTACTAATTTTTGAGATCAGTGAAGAACAATCTCTTTTCTACAAGGGTTGTAGCTGTTAATGTATACACTTGTCTGCTTAACTTGCAGGAAAGGCTGTGGAATCTTGGAAAAAAATTAGAACCGTATTACTGTTAGAACTAGTGTATTTGGGTGGTACATTTGGCTGCTTCTCTAACTCAGGTCAAAGATTTCACTCTCTTGCATTGGTGCCAGCACATCTGGGCTGACTTAGAGGTAGAAAAAACTTAAACGTACCATGACATACAGGCACAGATGGGAAAGTTACGGGTGCTGACCTTGCTCCTTTGTGGCATACATTATGGAAAAAGCGTGCAGATGAGAGCTATGACTGCAAACTGGAAGGTAAGGTCAAGCTGTAATGAATGTCATTAACTTACGCTGACAGAGTAAAGTGCCAGCTTCATTTAGAGAGAGCCATTGGGCATTACTGCAATATGTGTACTTAATAGTAATGATAATACTCATCCAAAAAGAAGCAAGATGGCATAAATAATAATAAATGGATAGTTCAGGTTGTGTCTGCTCGTGGTTTTGCAGAAGGTGCACTGGGAGTTGCATCTCCATCTCCGTATCTACATGCTGCTGTGAGAACATGGTGTTATCCAAGTGACCGTGTGGGCATTACCCTGATAGCATTTCCAGTGGTGCACTGTGTGCTACCTGCCATCACGTGCTGGATGGAGTTGTTGGCAGGTTGTCAGAATAGCACTGGGAAGCCAGGAATAGCCTTTTTTCCCCCTCAGTATGAGTGTTAAACAGTTGTCTAGTTAAATCTGGCCACTAAGCACGGTGCTTCACTTCAGTATGTTTGGAACAAACTGTATGAGGTCTGCAGCTTTTTCACAGCTATTGAGTTAGTGGGGGGGCTTTTTGGATGAAGAGTCCATGTGTGGCAGCTGCTTTGGAGCTCCGGGCTGCATAAAGCACATGTTCCCATGACAGTCGTGGGAAGGAGAGCACTCCAAGTCTTCAGTAATTGGGGCACCAGTGGAGTGTTTCGTAGCCCTGACAGAGAATGAAATGGGCCCTTATGTAATAAGCAGGCACAGAGCAAGGAAAATGACACTGATCCCCACCTACACCTTCAACTGTTGCGCTGCTGTTGTCCTTCTAGAGAAGACTTCAGTTTTGCTGGCAACTGCACTGATTGACTGTGACTTGGGAAGAAAAGTGACAGAACCCACAGCAAATGTGGAGCTGCTTAAATAAGAGCTCCAATTCTTTTTGCATAGAGACGATTCAATTTACTGCTAGAAAAAGTGTTCCTTGGGCCCAGAGTGGCTTCTCCATGATGCAAAGGAGAAGGCAGCTGTGCCAGAAGGGCCGTAGGCTGTTTCTGACTGCCTTATCTTTCTTGCCAAATGAGTAGTGTGGGTACTATCTAAGGTAGAGGAGCTTCAATAGGACAAAGGCTGAGAGTGAAACTCAGTGATAAACATGCTTGGCTGAGATGAATGACACCCAAGATCCAGGCCCAAACAGACTAAAAGAGTAACTTAATCTTTAGATTCTTCTTGTCCCAGATTTCTCACTTTCTCTGCCCCTTTCCTTATTTTTCTTTTTAAGCAACTTCAAGTCTGGTCCTAAACAGTGTGCAGAGAAACTCTAAAACCTACACTTTTTTTTTTTAATGGAATAATTCCTTTGCTGCCAGCCTTCGTCAGATGTCCTGAGCGTTAGCTCAGATGGTGGTTATATGAAGAAAAAGGCAATAGTAAAATCTCTTGTCTATAGGCACTGTGCCACAACATTGTAGTGAAAATAAATTACTTTTCAAGGACCTTAATCAGCAATCACCCCATAGAGTTGTTTGTGTGTCAGTCTGAAAGCAGAGGCGCCATTTGATTGTCGGAGCTGTGGAGATCACTAGTAGTGAGACTTCAATGGCATCACATACCTGCTTAAGGTTTCAGATGTTATGGTAATAAGTACCTATACAAAATACGAAATGGATAATTTCACCAGGTGATGATTCATGCTACAGTATTAGACAGAAAGACAGTAATAAATTGGGTGCCGAAGATTATTTTACTAGCAAGTCAATGGGTTGTTTCTCAAGGATTTGGTGATTCTGACATGAAACTTGGAGTTAACAGCAGAGTGTTTGTAGTCACTAGGAAAGGCATCCATCTAGTATAACCTCAGATTGTAATGCTCAGATGCTTAGCTGACTATATTAGCTGCAGGGGGGAGCCTGTCCATAGCTTTTCCTTCTCTTGTGGGAATTTAGGCAGTTCTGCTCTGTTCCTCAACTTGAAAGATCCAAGGTGCATAAAGAAGAAGAAAAAATGGTGAACTGAGCATGCAAAGTGGACTTTTCTACTGCCATGCATTTATGTTGGTTTTTATTCCTTTCTCTCTGTCCACATGGCACAACCAAACATCAAGGAAAGACAAGCTTTCTTCTCAGCAAGAGTAGGGTAAGGACCTCATGCTCTGCGCTTTGAGTATGCAGCACATGAGAAAACACAGAAAGTGGATTACCTTGAATCTTTTCTGAAGTTCATGTGGTTTCTGTGTTGTTCGTGGAGAGTATCTGCAGTACTTTACAAGCCTAAAAGTTGTTTCTGCAGAGGACTACGAATCTGTTTATAGGCAGGTGATACAAATTGGATCAAATGCTCCAACAACTCTGCCAAAGCATAGTTCTAGCACAGAAATGTATTTTTTTTAAAAAAAAAAGAAGGCTGTCTGACCACAAATAAGTTCCCAGAAACATCTTAAGGAAGAATGTTGCATCTGAATATAGTGGAATGGGAATTCCAGGCGTGGAATAAGCTAGTGGGGAAAGGGCTTCAAGGTATGCTGGGGACGACTGGGAGGATGTAACTCTTGGAAGACCATGAATGGTCTTTTTTTTGCTGATTGCCAGACGGAATACAGGATCCAAGATGTCTTTGTTAATGTCTGACATCTCAGAAAGCCAATGCAGTAGTGATTCCCAAACCACTTCCAATTTCTTCCTGGTTTCAGCGTATTGCGCTGCTGCTTATATTACCAGTGCGTAGGCATGTCTGCTTTTCTTGAAGACTAAATAGTATAGAAAGAGCAAGCATCCTGTCCTCCTCCCTTGTCCAGAGCAGAGGGAAAGAACCTGTGATGCCCTAAGTTATTAGCCTGGGACTTTGGAATGTCATCAGGCTCATGACTTGCCTGTCCTAAAGCTATGTACATTTAAGCAAGCTGTTTATTAGAGACATTTACATGGTTTCCAAGGAGTGGCTGGCAGAAACATATGGCCGAGAGATTTTTCTGAGTTTATGCAACGGTCTGCATGTGAAAACATGGAAATGTG